ATGTCATCTGATATCGTGACGATAACAACGATAGTGTGACTGACGACCGTTGCTTCTGTCGTGCGGGTGTCTGCCGCACTTCTCTCTGTGCGACTCTCACGCCGCCCCTCTCTCTGTGCGACTCTCACGCCGCCCCGCTCTGCGCAACTGTCACACCGCCCCTCTCTCTGCGCACATCTCACGCCGCTCCTCTCTCTGCTCGCATGTACCAGGTGGAGCATCCGATCACGGAGGCGATCACGGGCCTCGACCTCGTGCAGCAGATGATCCGCGTCGCCTACGGACACCCGCTCAACTTCACGCAGAGCGACATCGGCATCCGAGGCTGGGCCCTCGAGTCGCGCGTCTACGCAGAGGTGAGCCTCCCTACGCATGCTGCCCGCCGACGAAGGAGGAGGGGAGGGGGCGGAGACTTGTTAAACCACCCGCGCGCGGGGGGAGGGGCTTGTTAAACCACCCGCGCGCGGGGGGGAGGGGCTTGTTAAACCACCCGCGCGGGGGGAGGGGCTTGTTAAACCACCTGCGCGCGGGGGAGGGGCTTGTTAAACCACCCACTGGGGACGACACCCGTTGGACGGGAGGTTAGTCAATCACCTGTTGGGGACGACAATGGGGCTGCTAAGCTGGAGTGGATCACGTTTAGGCGTTGACGAAAACTAGCTTGCTGCGATGTAATTGCCGCGTACTCTGTGGGGAGGTGGAAAAGGGAGTTCACGTTTTTTGATCATGACGAGTCATGGTTTAAATACTCTCATGAATTGTCGACAGAGTTTCATACATTTCTATTTTGCACAGGTGGTTTCTATCGTGAAATACATACGTATATAATATCATAGGCATTTGTTTTTTGTTTGTTTGTTTATTCCGTTTTGTTTACAGGATGCATTTAAGAACTTTGGCCTGCCATCTGTTGGCCGTTTGATCAGCTACATAGAGCCACTTCATGTCCCTAATGTAAGCAGTGCTTTTTAACGTGACCTATAGGTTGTCAAAACACACAACCATGGTAGTATATTAACACAACTGTAGATAGTGCTGAATATCCTCGGATGGAAATGATTTATGAAATGACCGTACGTGTAATATAAACATATGTGCATATTAATTTACGTTTATGGCTCATAATTACTGCACATATATGGAAGACTGGCATGTTTTGGAAATTGAATAATTTTTTACAGCTGGTTTTACCATGTTCTCATACTATTTTTCAAACTCACACTCGGTAGCTTATTTGTGCCGTTATCTACTTCACGTTTACGTGGTACGAATGAGGGACATGTGAGGACAGGCAGTATGACTATGTTACTTTGCTTTGTACTTCAGGTTCGCTGTGACAGTGGTGTCAGGGAGGGCAGTGAAATCAGTATTTACTATGACTCCATGATCTGCAAGGTGGGTGCGCGGTCGGAGTGACTAAACTCACGACTATATGCTTGGTTTCTTGTCATGCGTATCGTACAGTTTGGTAAACACGTTAAGACTGTAAACTGTGAACTGTGGAATATCAGCTTCTAATTCGGTCGGCGAGACTAAAATGCAAACCAAATTGTCGTTCTGTAGCTGGTGACGTACGGAGAAACTCGCAATGAGGTGCTGAAGAATATGGTGGAGGCTCTCGACTCGTATGTTATCAAAGGTATACGTAATGTGTGACGTTTGAATTGGGTATGAATTAGGTGTGTGTGCGTGCGTGCGTGCGTGCGTGCGTGCGTGTGTGCGTGTGCGAGTACCATTATAACCCAGCAACAATAGGTGTGATTCGCAACCCCTGTGTAATATAGCCTACATTTCTGTTAAGTATAAGTCAGTAAAATTATAATTAGTAAGTCGACGATGCCGACTCACCTGATTTCTGTCTGCTCCCTTTGCGTTTAGGAGTGACTCATAATATCCCACTTTTGCGTGACATCATGACGGAAAGTAGGTTTATCAAGGGAGACATCACCACTAAGTATTTGGCTGAGATTTACCCAGACGGATTTAAAGGTGAGTGCTCTCTGTAAAGGGCTGTCGTCAATAACTACTGTGCTATTTAAATATACATAACGTATATATATATATATATATATATATATATATATATATATATCATGTGGATACATCATATATCATGAACAGACATAAGTTGTTTCATTTGCCCATGATGGTGAACGTTTTCTGTAGTTTGTTGACGAGCATTTTTTGTTAAGAGTACAGAACACGTATTCGTCTTTCATTCATCCGAGTCGGGGACAGTTAATCGCGTCACGCGCAGCTTTTATAAAGATTCACGTTCACGCGCGATGGCTACGGATGGCGCGTGCCGTACGCCGACTTGCCATTTTGATTTCCCCTGGAGATGCTTGCAGTGGATACGTTCGTACGGGAGTAATTTAACACGTGATTCTTTTCAGGCGACGATCGCCACGGCGACTCGACTCGGCGGCGTCCGCGGCGCGCCCCCTGTGCGCGCCCGCGCGTCCTCCATGATTTTATTGCCTGTATTTCGCAGGTTCGCAGCTGTCGGAGTGTGCCTCAAGACAGCTGAGCGCGCTAGCGGCAATAATCAAGTGTAAGGCGGATGCTCGTTCTAGAAATTTCAGCAACCAGAGCAGGTATTGACGGGATCTAGCGGCAGCAGGAACGCGCGCGCGGACCGGCGCACGCCCTAGCCGCCATCTCTGACCCCTCCCCCCGGCATCTCCAGACCTTCCTCCAGGTCCAGCCATCTTTGAGGTGACCCCAGTGCACAGCAAGTGTTTACTGTTGTCCAAACCCCCAGCAGGCTGTGTACCGAGCAGAACTAGCAGGAGGAGGTCCCCCCCCCCCAGCTTGTCCTGATTGAAGTGAGGTTGGCGTCAGCAGCGGGGTTTCACACTGCCATTGTGTTTATCGCAGGCAAGCAGATAACCACAGCCGAAGAGCGCAAGCTGTTCGCTGTGGCGTGCACGACCAGGGTTAAAGAGTATTTGCGATCGTTTACTTTTTACAACGCGGAAAGGTATCTCGTGTGTGTGTGGGTGTCTGTGTTTGCGGGCGAGTACGTGTTAGACACGTGTGTTGTAGGCTTGCGAGTGTGAAAAACGTGGCTCTGCAAGCACTCTCTAATCTTTGCTTCGTTTGCCACGGGATTGCACGGAGCCTGCCCATGTGCTCATATTACGTCTCTATCTCTCTCTCTCTCTCTCTCTCTCTCTCTCTCTCTCTCTCTCTCTCTGCACATTGTAACCCGCACGTCATCTCTCATCGAGACGTCCGTGATTGTGACGGTGCAGTGAGTAGCGAATTGCTTGCGCGAGTGCGCGGGCAAAAAACGTGAAGAGTCGGTCGCGGTACGATCGGAAGTAGATAATAGGGAAGCTAGTTCCCTATTATCTACTTCTCGTACGATTAATACTGCACACGCGTTGACGATTACGCACGCTGCCCTCTATCTGCAAGCAGCTCAATTCTTCTCTAGGTTTTCTGCTGCGGATGTCTAATCTTACTTACATCATCGAGATAGCATTGTTGGTCGCGCTTTTCATTTCGCAAAGTAGTGCGACGTTATTAGCGGTGGCCTCGTCCTGCGATCGCGATATGAAGCTGTGGGATACGAAGCAATAACATGAGAAAGCAATGGCAATGTTCATGCTTAGGGATATAGGGCCAGTTTCATAAAATAAAACTACGTTAGGAGTTGGAACAGTGAGGTCATGGGTCGAGGGTCTATCAGTGGATGAAAAGGCGTATTTCTAGCTTTTTTTTAAATATGGTCCCATTCTGTTGGGTCGTGGTGATAATCCAACTTATATATCAGGCTCTATTGTAAAAAATAAGTATGCAATGTCTTGTAAGAAAGTAATTTTATATGATAGTATTGAACCTTTATGTGACGAAAAACTGCTGCACAGTGAGATTCAGCATATAAACGTGGGTGATGATGCCACGATGGGATGATGAGATGCAATATCTAAATGGCTTTATTATGAGCTTGACAAATGAAGACCTTCCCTTCTGAATTCTCTGAATTCTCTCATTGTCTTTGTGTTCTGATAGTTAGTTCATATGTCCTCATTAAATCTGGAAGCTGTGAGTAGCGATCAGCCAGGCGGAATTAATATGCATGGTTAATATAATACTGGCGCAACTTAATTGTGTGACCATGCTAAATGCTTATCACTGTTTTATCGCTTGTCAGAGCTTTCAGAGCAAATTTTCTGTATGACCATAAGTGACTAACAGTGAACTGTCTGGTCTCTTGCACGTGTGTGTACAAAACAGGAAAATGCTGGTTCTAAAACGTTGGGGGTTACAGAATTGTAAACTCTGTAACAGGCATATTTCTTACGTGTTACTAACAGTTATAGATTATAGGGTTAGAGTTAGGGTTGAAGAAATAGGATTAGGCTTAGAAATTAGGATCATGTTTCGAATTCTGTTGTATTGGTATGGTTATTCCTGTTAGGAAGTTGTTACATAGTTTATACCCAATGTTGACTGTTAGCAATATTTGTTGGGCATTTATTTGAGCTTACCTGAATTATTATAAAGCATTTATTATTTGTTTATTTAAAGTAGGCAATTCGATATTTGGAATATACATAGCGGGGTCATTATTTACAAGTTGTTACTCAAATCAAAGGTCATTTGATCTCATCATATTTCATGTAAATTCTCTGACTACATGCTTAGAAAGTCTTGTAATTATGTGTAAACGGTCTAGCTTCCTGGCAAATTCAAATGGAAACATACCTTTGCAGAATTCCCATGGAGCCAATGACAACGGATAGCATATGCTTGAATGTGCAGAGAGGAGATAATCAAAATGACGTTGTCGTGCGCTGGAACAAGACGAAGGAAGAATTCTACGTGAGCCGTTGAAAATTTTGCACGTCTCTAACCCACCAGACAAATGCATAAAAGTTAAAAGACGTGTAGTCGATACTTGTGAGAACACGACGCACCACACCGTAACATTAACCCTGACGACTTTCATCGCGTGTGCGGCGCATATTGAATTACGAGCGAGTTTACACGTCACTTCAAACCACACAACACACGGTCAACCATATCACGGTAACATTAACACCATATCACGGTCAAGGTCAAAACACGGGTCACTTCAATTTTGTCCGTAGCGCGCCGCGCGTTGCCATACGCTCGACTGTGACTCGCGTGACTTTTAGGCAGGGTAAAAAATACACGGGAGCGATGAGCGATTCGCTCTTCAAACCCCTCCGTGAAAATCGCTCCCGTGAGGCTCAAAATAGCTCCAATAAAATTTTTGCCGAGAGCAATTTTTCCCACAGACTTGAAAAAGAGCTCCCGTGGAAAAAAAAGTTATTTTTTCCCTGCTTTCAGGTGATGTTCAACGACGGCGCGAAGGTGACGGTGACGAACAACTTCAGCCTCGCCGATACCGTCATCACGCCGGACGTCGACGGTGAACCGGTGACGTTCCAGCTGCTAAACAAGGACATGGGTGGAAACATAACGCTGCAGTACCAGGGCACGCAGGTAACGACACCACGACAAGTGCCGCTGATAAAGTTAAAAATAAGATAAGATGATTTCATCGGATCTCTATACTTCACACGCTAATAAAGATTATCTGAGTTAGATCCAAATTCTTTCAAAGGTCATTCACCGCGCGCCGGGTAACGAATCGGTCGGCTTCATAGCCAGCGGCACTTGATTGAATAATTTCATCGGATCTCTATAGTTCACATGCTAATAAAGATGATCTCAGTTAGATCCAAATTAAGTTAAAAATAACTTACACTGATGATATTTTTGTCCATCTCTCGGATAGACTTTCTCAGGTCTGATGTTTAGAGACTAAGAGACTAAAACATCAGACCTGAGGAAGTCTATCCGAGAGATGGACAAAAATATCGTCAGTGCAAGTTATTTTTAACTTAATTTGGATCTAACTGAGATAATCTTTATTAGCATGTGAACTATAGAGATCCGATGAAATTATTCAATCAAGTGCCGCTGGCTATGAAGCCGACCGATTCGTTACCCGGCGCGCGGTGAATGACCTGCGATCCTGCGGGAAGTATGATTCGAACCGTATGGGAAAGTGTACAGGCGGAGTGACTTACTGCTGGGTCCAAACCCAGTTCACTCGTAGATTGCAGTCACACCTAGTCTGGTAGATTATCGTCGTGTAATGTTCAGAGGTTTAGTCATAATGGATCTAGTCCGCTGGTATTCTGGCAGTTAGAACGTTTGTATTTCTAAATTTTATATTTTTTTTCTAAATTTACAATATGCACCTTAATCAACTACGTCATGTAGAACAAGGAATTCTATGCATGCATGCAGAGGTTACATGTACAGAAATGCGAAAGAAAATCTGCGTGGCGACAATGTAGTAAAGGAAAGTGATTCAACAAAAATTTGTGCGCGACGAAACATTTTGACTGCAAAAAACCGTCGTCGTGTCGATGTTTCCGACAGTTTGTGGTCAAGGTTCTCGATGACAAGACTGCCGACTACCTGCGCTACATGAAGGAGACACCGACGGTTGACACGACGCGTGTCATCAACGCGCCCATGCCCGGCCTCATCAAAAGCATCTCGGCGAAGGTCGGCGACACTGTGAGTGTTGAGGGAAATCTCACACCGAGGTTGTGCAGGGGCGCGAGCGCGTATTTAGAGTGGTCTCGCGGCTGCGATCTGCGTCGCTGATTTTGGCTTGTTGTTGTTTTGACTCAGTTGATTTTTAGCTCACCTTGACATTGTCAAGATGAGCTATTGCCATGGGTCGTCGTTTGTCCGTCCGTCCTTCGTCAACATTTGGCTACGGTCAACGATAACTCAGGAACCGTTTGACCCACATGTTTGAAATTGGGTATAGTTGTTACTGCTATGCTCCCATATTGAACGTCCTATTTTGGAGCATGCCAGTCGACGTACTTTCGAGCCACGGCAATTTTTTGGCAAAAATGGAAATTGCCATTAGTCAGTTCAGGTTCAATGGATTTTGCTCATTTTTGGTATGTGAATGAATAAGGGCTGGCCACAAAACGTATTACAGGGGTTTTGATATTTAAAAAAAAAAATTATGCAAATTAGGTAGGTTTTGGCAATTATATAGCATGTTATATAGACACACAGATAACAGTCTGTGGTGTCACACTAGTCTGGTTCGTTTTACAAGATTTTATTGACAATATCTTTAATGCAAAATTGGTATTTCCTCTCCACCCTGCCGATAAAACGTCTATATTAGAGTAAAGTTTGACAAAACATGTCGGAACGCAGCATAACCTATTTATTTCAAACGCCATCGCTAAGAAACATTAAAGCGGGTATAGCGCCATCTACCGTCACAAATTGTGATTCATTTTGGGTTATAAATTATTATTGCGATATACAGATGGCAACCGTGTGCTACCGCCTAGAAAAACTCATACGAAGTAAACGCTTCCATGCAACCAATTAACCTTTGACAAAAGTTGTGTTATGGGCAGGGAAACACCATTGTCACGTGGTGTATAGCAGCTACGTGGAATAAGCGTATCCTCATTTGAAAATCCAAAATGGCGGCCATACCGGTATCTCCGCAAATGTAAACATTGTTTTTCGAATTCCTCATGTTATAACCTTTCCAAAAATGTATAGATTTGCTAATCTACCATAATTCTGAACGAAACTTAATTTATTGACATAGTGAACCTGACTAACACACACACTTCTCTTATATTGTCTCCATAAAAAAATCTTGTTTAGCGCTAGTTTTTCTGATAAAGATTCACTTATATATATGTAAATTCGTTATAAAAACCTAGAAATGGGCAAAGAGGGGTCCGCAGGCGTCCGGGGGACCGGATCTGATAAATTTATGCATTCTAGACATCAAAATTACTGCTCAGATGCTCTCAGAATGCACCAATTTAAAAAAACAAACCCCAAACCCCCCCTAAATGGCCTTCGGCAGCTTTTTAAAACACCAGAACAAGTAAGCAGGAAAAAGTGCCCTTTATTTCTTCCTGGACACCCTCTTTTCAAAAATCCTGGATCCGCCCCTGAGACATGATACAAGATTGCGTGGCACAGCTTTGCTTTGCTTTGCTTTGCTGTTTGTTACAACTCTACACATTAAAAATCTAGCTGAATTTAATTGAAATCAAAACGCTACCCTCTTGAAGAACGAGACTGCTCTTATATAATCCTACCTTACATCGGCGAATTACTCATATGTTATCATATATTAAATTAGACCATGACTGAAAAGCCGCCGTTGTCACGCTAGCTGCATCGGACGCCCGTAAGCTTTCTGGTGGATCAAGTTCTAACTCGACCCCTCACTGCTTCCACTCTCCCGCTCTATATCTTACTGCTGCTGAGAAGCCAGCGAGAGGCGATATCTATTGGCTTACTAACATCCGGGCTTGTAATCTCAGGGAAATATTAATCTCGCACGTTTGGTTATCATTGCAAGTTCGTTCTTCAGGAGAAGCTGATTCCTCATGAGGAGCTTGAGGTAATTAGCGATGAGCATCCTCATCCACCAGCAATCGTACAAGCTCTCGCTGGCGGCTGGCTTCTATTCAGCAGAAGTAAGATATAGAGCGGCAGAGTTTAAGCAGTGAGGGGGCGAGTTAGAACTTGATCCACCAGCGCTCCAGGGCATGTAGGAGGAGAGGTGCACTTGTTCCCATTCACTCATTTGTGCCATTTTTGTGGTGAGCTACAGTGTCATTCACACTTTCATTTTGTACGTCGTGCTCCTCACTCGTATTTTTTACAATTAGTAAATTACTTGCTCGTATTAGCTGCACGAATGCGTACGTGGGGGAGGGGGGCGGGCGTTCAATTCATCAAATTGCATAGTACTGATGTTGAGGTTGTGAGACGTGGAGAACAGAGAGTACTTACTTGTTGTGAAGAATTACTTATTATTTTTTAGGTTGTGGAAGGCCAGGAGATCTGCGTTATAGAAGCGATGAAGATGCAGAACAGTCTGTCGTTCGGCGTGACAGGAAAGGTACCGAGCAACTTGCTTTTGTAGCACTAAAGTGGGGGAAAACACGTTGTAATGAATGAAACTATGGATTGCGTTTATGTCGCGTACTCGTTTGTAAGAATGCTTCACTCGTCGACGTGACTACTTATGCCACGTAAAGCTACCGACTGATCCCGAGTGTGAAGTCGTCGTTAGGTGTCTGTTGTTAAAGGTGCAATTTTTTTTCGTAGATCAAGGCATTGAATTGCAAGGAAGGCGAAATGGTGGAAGAGGATGCCGTCTTGGCCGAGCTGGAATAGTGAACTGCCGCTGATGTTCCTACTAGTGCTACCGGAAACAAATCAGTGCACTTATCATGTACTTGTCTGTAGTTAACAGAACTCTCGTAATCTTTGTACACGGGCGTACGTTCTTACATGGGCAAACGTGAAAGGTGGTAGCGTGACGTAGTCAAAATAGCTGCGGTCTGTGTCAGTTTCCCATGCAGTGTGTGAAAGTGTTTGTGGGGTTTTTGTAACTGGTGTTATTAGGATTTTCACTCTGCAAATGACTATGTCATTTTGTCAAGAATTGTTCGACTAGAAGTGAATCGCTACTGAATCGCATAACGAGCTAGACAAACTATGCAATGAATTTTGTCCAGCAGGATATTCAACCAGGAACATATTGTTCTGACTGTTGTTGTTTAATGTTTATATGAAAATGGTAGCATCTATGCGAATCAATACTGAATTGCATGCAGAATTATACTTGTAAATAAACGAAAATTTAAGAGTCAAATTAAACCCAGGTTCTGTACAATGCCTCAAAACCATGGCCATATAACCAGCATTACGCTGCCACACGTTGTCTGTCATCGTGCAGGCACATAACCAGGAGTAGATAATCTCGAAGAGAAAAATATTTTTCTTATTATTTGCTCCCGATATAACAGACGATATTTCTTATCGTGTAAGCGGTTATCAGGTCAGTTCCTTAGAGTATAGTTTTTATACATTTAGTAAACCGTTCTAATAAATCTTTCAAAACAAGAAACCTCATGGCACATTCAGGTATCTTACGTCGTCTCTGAATGTAGTGTACTGAATGTAATCGTACTGTTGCTGTAATGTAATTAGCTTGCATATAAATATAGGAGGCTATAGTGAATATAGTACGTGATAATATATTGTCATAAAAACAGCAGCCATCAGTCGGAGTAGATGGCACTGAACGCTCGCGTGGCGCGCATCAACGTGCTTCAGTGAGTTTAATCTAAAGTCATAATTAATAATCCATGTTTAGCCCGATAGCAAGCGCAGAAATCTATTCCTGGTTTTTGATCACGTAGTGCTAACAGATTAATCTAGAGATCGTGTGTGTCTATGCAGGCGTGTACGTGTCTAGCGACCACGAGTGAGAATTGGGAAATCAAACGTGAAGTTTGTATTAAATCATTTTTATATCGATGTGTTGTTCACAGCAGAATAGAGAGACGAGAGCTGAAGTTAGATGCAAGTGATAAGAGCTAGTTTGCAGAAGATAGCAGTTCGTTCTAGTATAGTAGTTAGTTATAATGGCGTAGGAGCATGTATGTAATGTGTGAGCACGTGTGGTTGTATGTACCTGTGGGTCTGTGTGCGCGAATTAATGATCAGTTTGTCAGGTTGGATGATACGGTTATATTTTACATACCCTGTCCAAATCGGCCCCACCCCTCTTTTCTTCGCCTGCTAGAGTAAGTGGTGCAGTAATGTGCGATAGCTATAATATAATATCAAGAGTACATAATAACACCTGTATGTTATTATGTATGTGCACACAGGTGTTATTATGTACTCTTGATAATATAAATGCACTTTACATTGTAGACTATTGTGATGTGTATGACTAATGACCAGATTCTGCTGCTGCTGCTGCTGCTGCTGATTGTGATGATGATGATGATGTTGATGATGATGATGATGGTGGTGATGATGGTGATGCTCCTTAGCTCAAAATGTTGACAGATTTGTGCAGCGCTGTGTAAAATGGATACGAATAAGTCGATGCCAATAATAGCCGATAAATTATTAGGAGAAATGTGCGTTGAGTTCTGTTATGTTACATGTTCAGTGGCAGCGTATGGTGCGAATTGCTTAACTTGGTACCAGTTCTTTCAAATTGAGGCCGTGGCTACGCGTCCGGTTACCGGACGCCCAGCTCCCAGGCTACGCATCCGGTCAAATATTTCTTATGTGAACCCAACTACATTTTTTCAGTAAAAAAACAAGAAACAATAAGTTTTTACCATAATATTACTTACCTTTCGGTATTTTATCAAAAAATGTGTTTTTGTAACATTTGAAGCAATAGTAAATCCAGTAAAATCAACGATTTGAAAGGGGCGTGGCCTAATCGTGACGTGGATTTGGGAATCTGTGCTGAGCCTTGTAATTGATGACCGGACTCGTAGCCACTGCGTAAAATTAAACATCGGTCTCTCTGTGTGAAGTCCGATTGAACGCAGCATGTTCGTTGTGGCGTGTACATTTGAGATATAGTATTTATTAGGGTTTGTTGTTGGAGTGTAAAACCAAAAGGTCTAACTTGTGAGGTGTGAATTCTAATCAGTATACGAAACGGAATAGCTACGCATAATGACATATAATTATTTTTAAGAAATTAGTAGGCTACGCGAAAACTGTTGTTCTTTCATCCTCTTTTTGCGCTTTTCTTTTTAGCATATTTGTTACTAAATTCGTTTGCCCAGCTGTTTCTCTCGTGTAGTCGCAGTAATGTTTGTCGGGTTCACACTCGAGGTGTAATTAGTGAATGTAACACGTTGTTTACAACCCTACTCACGTCGATGAAGTTTGTCGTTAGGAGATGATGCGCGCAGCACGCGCCAGCGATGTGTTATCAAGAGTACATCTATTATTTAATCTTGGTGTTATGGAGCTATAGCAAGATGAACTAGTCATGGGTCGTAGAAATCGCAGTCGTGTTGTTTACAACTAACGGGGCTCAAATCAACGGTTGTCACGATCGCATCAAATAAACCACGATACTATATTTCTTGGCCAAATCCGTTGTTAGTCGTTATATGTGTGCGAGTGTGTGTCGTATATTGTTTCGTTCGGCGGTCACATATCGTGAATAGTGTTGCAATCGTACCCGGGCAAGTCTGTTAAAAAACACATCGCGTAATCTTGCATTTATCTGTCTGTGTTAATGGAACCGATTCGATTACTGCTACTGGTTCTGATGTTACAACCAGAGAGACAGCAGGGGCGGATCCAAAGGGGGGGTCGAGGGGGTCCGGACCCCCCCTTTTTACCACAAAAAAAAAGAAAAAAAACATACACACGCACGCGCGCGCGCGCACACACATAGTCAGGTTCACTATGTTTTTTTGTTCAGAATTATGGTAGATTAGCAAACCTATACATTTTTGGAAAGGTTGACCCTCTGAGGTCATTCTGAAGGTCGAGGAGGCCAAAAATCGGTGAAAAATGACCCTGCGGCAGGCATTTAAATGAACGCGTCCCTGCAGTAGCTATTAAGAAACGGCTTACACTTGACCTCAGGCCACTGAACCTGCTTTACCGTTATTAACGTACAGATTTGAGATAGGGGAAATAATATATATATATATTATTTATATTATATTATTCATATATAGAGAGAGAGAGAGAGAGAGAGGAGAGAGAGAGAGAGAGAGAGAAGAGAGAGGAGCGAGCAGAGAAGAAGAGAGAGAGAGAGAGATAGATAGATAGATAGATAGATAGATAGAGATAAAATAAAATATATATATATAGATAAATAGATAGATAGATAGATAGTAGATGATAGTATTTTTTTCTTTCAACAAGTGACCACAACTGAGCGCTATATTTCCCGGGCATGCGGTATTCCTCTGTTAATTAATTACTTAATTCCCCTCCCGATCTTGTTCGGTGATATAAACGTACCACTGACGAACCCTTCCATTATATAACTTGCGCCGGGTATCCCTGACGTCACCGTCACGTCATGCCGCACCAGAAGGCAACGAAAGGCGAGGGCGGCTGATCACCAACGTTGATTAAAGGCCAGACGCAGGCCCGCGCGTTCGCAGCCGACTTTCTCTCACCCCGATCATGTTTTTTTTAGTAAAACGTCCAGTGACTCACTGTCGTGCACGAGCGAGTTTTCAAAAAAAATGTAAGAAGAAGAAACACGCAAAACGATATATCTCTCCACGCTGTTAAGATTTCGTCATAACAACGGTAAGGCATAAATTAATTCTTCAGTCCCCTTCGCATGTATATATTATACTAACTCGCACTAGTGTGTGTGTGTTGTGTGTGTGTGTGTGTGTGTGTGTGGTGGTGTGTGTGTGTGTGTGTGTGTTGTGTGTGTGTGTAGAGAGAGCGA